AGTCTTCGTCCTCTGGTTCCACACAGAACCAGAGACCAGAGTCTTCATCCTCTGGTTCCACACAGAACCAGAGACCAGAGTCTTCATCCTCTGGTTACACACAGAACCTGAGACCAGAGTCTTCGTCCTCTGGTTCCACACAGAACCAGAGACCAGAGTCTTCATCCTCTGGTTCCACACAGAACCTGAGACCAGAGTCTTCATCCTCTTCGTCCTTTAACTCCTGAGTCCTGACCTGAGTCAGATTCAGACCCTGAGTCCTGACCTGGGTCTGAGTCAGACTCAGACCCTGACCCGGACCCCAGCAGATAAATGGGCTGATCTTGGGATAAACTGGTCTAAACCGGATCAGTGACTGGATAATGGTAACTTCCTGCTTCCTTCAGTCTCTGAGCTCCACAACCTTCATCTGATTCTCAGACTTGATCTTCAGTAAACAGACTCCGCCCCCCCACCATATGACAACCAAGGGTTACCACGGTACACCCCCCCTGATCAAACAGAAAAGGTGACACACTGTCCTGAGCTGACGAGGCACCGGCCCTCCCCAAACAGAGGCGTTAACGAGCTGTAAGCTCCTCCTCYTTCGTTAGCTGAAACTTGAGGAGCAGAGAGGAAGAAGGAAGCAGGAGGAAACCACAGACTCCTCCTGACTGATTCAAAGGGATTAAAATTTAGACCCTGTGGTCCTGTAAAGACTCAGCCAGGTGTTTCTGACAGGACTGCAGTTTCTTCTTCCTCTTCAGGACCACCTGTGTTTTGTACAGATCCTGTTCTTTGCTGCATGCTGGACTTTATGTTTGGTGTTTGGGCTTCAGGCTCCGCTGCGTTTCCAACCTTCGTTTGCAGCTTTTCTTCTAGCTGTTCTCCAACTCTCAGCTGATCCTTAGCTTCGTTAGCATTAGCTTTGTTAGCATTCCTCACTCTGTTAGCTACAAGCTAAGGAAACGCAGACGGTGTCGACTTTGATATTGGGACATTTTGAAGTCGTTGTGTTTGTCTGAAGCTTTAAGCAGCTTTTTACTGTGGAGAGAGTGGAGAACTTTCTACAATCAGACTCTTATTACATGATATAATTAATATTAATATGCTGAATATACGGCCTTTGTATATTTGAAAGCTTTTTAATGTTTTAATCAGACTTCCAGTTCTGGCGTTTTGTGAACTATTAGCTTTATCATTTTTGTTCTGATGCAGTTGAAAGTGTGACACCGGTTGTTTTCCAGCTGCTGAATGTCTTTTTGCCTCTGCTGCTCTTTGGTTTAACACGTTTATCCTGGAGACACCTGGAGTCCCGGCAGAGGAAACACCAGGCTGAGGGCCCGCATGCTGGTCTCAGTCTGGTTTCTTCTTCCACACGACAACTGCCATGACCAGAGGGGTGGGGCATCACTGGAGACAGACCACACCCACTGCACAGACCACACCCACTGAGCAGGACAGGCCACACCCACTGAACAAACCACACCCACAGAGCAGGACAGACCACACCTACTGAGCAGGGCAGGCTACACCCACTGAACAAACCACACCCACWGAGCAGGACAGACCACACCCACTGACCAAACCACACCCACAGAGCAGGACAGACCACACCTACTGAGCAGGACAGGCTACACCCACTGCACAGACCACACCTACTGCACAGACCAAACCTACTGAGCAGGACAGGCCACACCCACTGACCAAACCACACCCACAGAGCAGGACAGGCCACACCCACTGCACAGACCACACCTACTGAGCAGGACAGACCACACCCACTGAAAAACCACACCCACTAAACAAACCACACCCACTGAGCAGGACAGGCCATACCCACTGAACAAACCACACCCACTGAACAGACCACACCCACAAAGCAGGACAGGTCACACCCACTGAACAAACCACACCCACTTAACAAACCACACCTATTGAGCAGGACAGACCATACCCACTGAAAAACCACACCCACTGAAAAACCACACCCACTAAACAAACCACACCCACTAAACAAACCACACCCACTGAGCAGGACAGGCCATACCCACTGAACAAACCACACCCACTGAACAGACCACACCCACAAAGCAGGACAGGCCACACCCACTGAACAAACCACACCCACAGAGCAGGACAGACCACACCCACTGAGCAAACCACACCCACAGAGCAGGACAGACCACACCTACTGAGCAGGACAGGCTACACCCACTGCACAGACCACACCTACTGCACAGACCAAACCTACTGAGCAGGACAGGCCACACCCACTGACCAAACCACACCCACAGAGCAGGACAGGCCACACCCACTGCACAGACCACACCTACTGAGCAGGACAGACCACACCCACTGAAAAACCACACCCACTAAACAAACCACACCCACTAAACAAACCACACCCACTGAGCAGGACAGGCCATACCCACTGAACAAACCACACCCACTGAACAGACCACACCCACAAAGCAGGACAGGTCACACCCACTGAACAAACCACACCCACTTAACAAACCACACCTATTGAGCAGGACAGACCATACCCACTGAAAAACCACACCCACTGAAAAACCACACCCACTGAACAAACCACACCCACTGAGCAGGGCAGGCCACACCCACTGAACACATACTTGTCTGTATAAGATGCTTCTGTTGTCCTAACGGGGACCTCCACTCAGATGTTTGTAGAACCGTGCTGACGTGGCTCGACACTGATGCACGTACAAACTGTCGTAGGATCATTTCAGTCACAGTCTTCTGGTTTATCTGTGTTTAAACTTAAATAATTCAGAACCACAAAACATTGTGCTGCAGTTCTTTAACAGTGACTCTGATGCAGACATGGTCCTCACACTTTTCCCAAGCTAAGCTACTTCTCTAGATACGAGTGATGGTACGAGCCGAGTTTGACCAGGAAAAAGTGCAACCATGGTTTTAACATCCCCTCCAAACGTTTAACTGGAGGTAAAAGACCACCTGGACCACCTGGACCACCTGTCCCTGCAGTAAACCTTACTGTTTTACTGTAGCCTACTGCTAGCTTTACTCCTAGCATCCATGCTAGCCTCATACATACTCTACTGCAGTCAGCCACACATAGATGATATTTTACTAACACAAACATCACCTTTAAGTTTGTTCAAAGGAGGCAGAAGCCACGGCTCCAGTGGTAAAAACACAGAGATAAACCATTAAAACCAGTAAAAATTCCAACCTTTGTAATAACTCTGCTACAGTTTTACCTGTGAGTGTCAGATAAATGACCTGTGTGACGTCATGAGTGGAGGTCTCCACTGACCTCAGGAAGACCCTGATCTCCTGATTCAACAGAACCAAACCCAACATGGTCCTGCTTCAGTCAGGTTTCATCCGCCCTGATCCTGGATGTGGGCCCAGCCGGGACTCCTCAGGGCTCCTGCAGTGTGATCGGCTGTTTCTGCTGCGTCACTCTGAACTTTACGACACTTGAAAGTATTTATTATCTGTGGTGGAAGTGAAGAAACTCTGCCTGCAAATATCTGAGATGTCATTTTATAAAAACTATTTAGGTGTTTATGCTTGAAACTGAAACTGTTTGATTCTTCTTAGATTAGATTTCACCGGTTATTCTTCTGA